GGTGCCACGAGGGCTACCACTTCGCCGAGGGCACGGCGCGCCTCTCCTTCCAGTGCGAGGACGGCGAGTGGGTCATCCAGGACCCACGCTGGACGGAGACCCCAGACTGCGAGCGTAAGTCGGGGTTGTTGTGGTTGGGGTGTGGATGGGTGGACGAGGTCGTCGCTGGGTGTGTTGTGGCTGGGGTGTGGATGCGTGGTTGGCGGGGTGTGGATGTGTGGTTGGCGGGGTGTGGATGTGTGGTTGGCGGGGTGTGTGCGTAAGCTGTGGCTGAAGGTGTTGTGAAGGAAGTTACTGGGTGAGGTGTTATGGGTGAAAGTGTTGTGGGTGAGATGTGGTTGCGTTTTGGATGAGTTGTGGATATTTTGGAAAGGTGTTGTTTTTTTTCCCTTAAGTTATGGATCGAAGTGTTGTGGCTGTGTTGTGGATGTTTTAACGCTAAAGTAATGGCCAAAGGTAGGGAGGCTGTATTGTTGTTGCTGACCTGAGCTGACTCGACATGCCCCAGAACATCAAAAACGTATCAAATTATTAACAAAGGACATAGAAATAAGAACACAGACTAGGCTATATCGAAACATTTTGCTTTATATAGCATGTCGGTTCATGTTACATGTCCCATAATTCATGTCACATCGTCACGTTGGTCACATCAACGTCAGTTCACATCATATTATGCCAAACCATATCACACCACAACATATAACATTACACCATACTAAACTATACCACACCACATCATACCAAGCCGAACCAAACCACACCACGCGACACCATATCATACCACATCACAGCACCTTGCATCACACGAAAAATAATCAGCTGTCTCCTGTTGCAGCTGCATGTGACCCCGCCTGCGAAAATGGCGGCCGTTGCATAGCGCCTGACATGTGCCAATGCACCGTCGACTTCCGGGGCGAACTGTGCCAGTACCGTAAGTACCGACTGCCACTGGGGTGCAAGAGCGTAAGTGCCGATTAATAGATAAATGAATGGATGTATAAATGATTGGATAAATAGATTAAGAAATAAATGTAATTCATTAAGCAGATAAAATTATATATATATATATATATATATATATATATATATATATATATATATACACCACAATAGATACACAAAGAAACCAACTCTAAACAAACAAACGAACACGAAGACCTTAACCTGGCGGCCCGCAATGAGCGACCACAACCAACCACACGCCCCTTTCAGCCACCTCCAACTGCGACCCCAAGAAACTGGGCTTCAAGGGAGGCTACAACTGTTCGGGCGAAGGGATGGACTTCGGCTGCGCCTTCTGGTGCCCCCCCGAGGCGGACTTCGAGTTCCCCGCCGAGGACTTCTACAAGTGCGACTACGCCACGGGCCTCTGGTCGCCCTCGCCCATCCCCAACTGCGACTACGGTGAGCGCGAGGGAGGGGGGGGGGAGGGGCTGTATATATATGTATGTATATACATATATACATACATATATATATATATAATATATATATATATATATATATATATATATATATATATATATATATATATATATATTATATATATATATATATATAATATATATATATATATATATATATATATATTATATATATATATATATATATATATATATATATGTATGTATATATATATATATATATATATATATATATATATATATATATATATATATATATATATATATATATATATATATATATATATATATATATATGTATGTATATATATATATACATAAATATACGTGTGTATGTAGATAGATAGATAGATTGATAAACTTAGAGAGAGAAAGAGAGAGAGTGGGGGGGGGAGAAGGAGAGCTATTTAGATAGATACAGATAGATAGACATTTATATAGAGAGAGAAACAAACGGGCAAGAGAGACACAACAGCAATGCCCAGCAAAAAAAAAATAATAATAATAATAATAATAAATAAGAATGAATTCCAACGCAGCGCGAACACAAAACCCCTAGAGCTCTCACGACACCCCCCCCCTACCCTCACCCCCAGGGTTCCTCGTCGTGACTCCCGGGGCCCAAGACATCTCGACGGGGACTTACCCTCCCGGCTTCGTCTTCACCACCACGGAGTACATCAGGAAGTCCCCGGGCGTCTGCTTCACCTGGTCGGGCTCTCACTACAAGTCCTTCGATGGAAGGGTTTACAGGTATGTTTGTGTGTGTGTGTGTGGTGTGTGTGTGTGTGTTTGTGTGTGTGTGTGTGTTTGGCTGTTTGTGTGTGTGTGTGTTTGGCTGTTTGTGTGTGTGTGTGTGTGTGAGTGAGTGAGAGTTTGGGTGAGTATGAGTGTTTGAGTGTGTGTGTGTGTGTGTGTGTGTGTGTTTGCAGGAAGTGATACAACATTTGTTTAGATCTGAATGAGTTGGGTGTGTTTTAGAGGGTTGTGTGTATGAGGTGAGGGGTGAAGGGTGGGGCGTGTGTGTGGGGTGTATGGACGTGGGGATGTGGACGGTTGGGGATGTTTGCGTGCGGGGATTTTGGAGGGATTTTGTGTGTGGGGAGTTGGGGTGGGGATATATGTGTGTTTCTTGTGGGTGTGGCGTTTGTGTGTTTGTCTGTGGAGGTGTGGGGTTGGGGTGTTTTTTGTAGGTATGGGAGTATTTGTGTGTGGGAATGTAGGTGTGGTTGTGGCTGCATGTGTATCTATCTGTGCACCTGAGCAAGCGCATGTGAGATTTCCATTTTCGGCTGACCGATCTCCTGGCAGGAAGCTCATTCTGACCTCCTCCTTCTCCCCTCCCCTCCCCCGCCTCCTACAGCTTCGAGAGCTCGTGTCCCTTCACCCTCCTGCAGGACTCCACCCACGGCACCTTCAGCGTCAACCTCAAGTCCAAGGATGACTGCACAGGCTCCTCGTGCTCCAAGGCCATCCATCTATTCCTTGACGATGAAGAATACGTCCTTCAAAACACGGGTGAGGGCGAGGGCCGTGGTTCGTTCTTTCTCGAGTGTTACTTGGCTCTTTCTGGTGTGTTGCTTGAGTCTTTTCGAAGTGTTACTTGGCTCTTTCTGGTGTGTTGCTTGTGTCCTTTGATGTGTTATTTGAGTCTTTCTGGAATGTTACTTGACTGGAGTGTTACTTGAGTCTTTCTGGAGTATTTATCGAGTCTTTATGAGACCTGTGTAGAGTAAAAAATTGTTGAATCATGTGTGAAATATTTTTTTCGTTTTCTTTCGATTTTCTATTTTGTTTCTTTGTTTAGATCTTTTGTGTTATCTCTGATTGGAAAATATCAGCTTCCTGTGTTTTGCTTTGTTTTCTTTTCGTTTCATTCTGTATTCATTCTTTCTTTAATTCTATTTTAATAAGCACATATAATTTCGATTTTTCGAATAACTGCTTATTTATATATATAATACCCCTTTTGTTCTTTCTGTTCCTATTCAAATGACTGACTATATATATATATAATACCCCTCTTTTTCTTTTCCATTTCAATTCCTCCTTGAGCATCTTCTGAGTGGCCAGTGCCTTACCCCCCTCCCCCCTCCCCTGCAGAGTCCGGCCAGCCGAGCCTCGAGTACCACGAGACGAACCTCGCCATCCCGGGCCAGATGAACGGGGTCGTGTCCGAACGCGTGGCTCACTACGTCCTGCTCAAGGTCGACGCAATCGGACTCACCCTGAAGTGGGATATGAAGGTGAGGGGAACGGGATGAGGGGTAGAGGGGGAGGGGGAGGGGGAGGGAGGGAGGGGAAGAATGGGGTGGTGGTAGGGGTGGGAGAAAGGGGATGAAGGGTTGATGGTGGTGATGGTGATGTGCAGGAGATTGAGGGTGATGGTGATGGGGATAGTGATGGTGATATGGTGATGAGGTGGTTTGATGATGATGGTGAGCAGGAGGAGATGAAAGAGAACGAGGAAGATGATGATAAATGTGACAATAATAAGGACGACAAGAAAAGAGATAAAGAAGCTTACTAGAGTAAAAGAACAGGAAATACAGAAGAAAAGGTGAATTGCGTAAATACTCGCCTAATTAAACCTTACAAAAATTTTCCTCGCAGAACACAGTTATAACGGAAGTGAACGAGCTCCTCTGGAACAGGACTTCTGGACTCTGTGGACGACGAGACGGCAACAAGGAGAACGACTGGGGTTATTCCGATGGCAGAACGGAGGATAATTTGAGTTCCTTCCTTCAAGCTTGGCAGTCGAAAACCATCGGTGGTAAGGGCGTAATAGTATAGTACTATAATATCCCCTTGCCAGACTGTAGAGTTAGGTCTGCGCGGGGAATTTGGTCAAATTCTCTCCGCGCAAATGTAGTTCTCAGGTAACTTTCCGCACACGCTTAGTTCTTTTTTAAATCATCTTCCGCGTATGAAATTCTATTGACCGTTCCGCGGACTTGTTTAATCATCCGTCCGTAGATACGTCCGCGCAATTGTAGACAAAATGATGCTTTCTGCGCATGAAAAAATGTAATATTCCCCGCACAAGAAAAAGACTACAGTCTGGCCCCCTTGAAGTTTCCCGTTTTTTGTCATAGTCAACCCTTGAGGTTTTTCGTTTTCTGTCATAGCTTACCTTTAAGTTTTTTTCCCGTTTTCTTTGAAGGTGTTACGGTGGTAGGGAGTGCACCTTTTGATTATTCTTTTTTTTAATCACGAATGTTTTACCCTGTGAATATTCTACATTTTCTTATATCTGTCTATAGTTATATAATTTTAATTCATTCATCAGAATTATAAACATCAATACATTTCATGCTATTGTAATATAAAAAAAACAGTATATATCAAGCATGTCGTTCTTCTTTCCTCCCCAGACCAGTGCCTCGGCCAGCCCATGATCAAGAACCCTTGCGGGCGCCGGCCGGTCTCCTCGCAAGCCACTGACTTCTGCTCGAGGCTCCGCGATGACCCCAAGTTCGAACCCTGTCGTCAGGTGAGTGGCTTCCCTCTCGAAATTTAGATTACGGTGCATGGCTTGATTTAGAGAGAAGTGATGAGTTGAGAAAAAAGGAAAGCTATAAAAAGGATAAAAGTTAAAGATAAAAGAGAAGTGTAGATCAAAGAAAATGAGATTAATACGACTAAATTCGTTGCAAAAGAGAGAGAAATGTGTTAATATTCATCCCATCGCTTCCCTCTAGCAAGAAGCATCACCCAATCCCAACCTCCGAAATTTTAAAAGCCACGATCTCCCCCGAACGCAGACAAAACCAAAAGATAAACGAATAATAAACCTAAAATGAAAATAAGACCAAATTCACTCCGCACAGGTCGTGGACGTGGACCCCTTCGTATCGGCCTGTAAATGGGACTACTGCGGCTGCGAGAGTGACGACCGGGAGGGCTGTGCGTGCGAGTCCTTCTCCGCCTTCTTCAGGGAGTGCACCAGCCAAGGCGTCGACCTGCCCGAGGGATGGAGGGCGCCCGGACTCTGCCGTAAGACCCGGGGCTGGACGCTTCGTGTTGGATGGGTCTGATTTCTGAGAGAGAGAGAGAGAGAGAGAGAGAGAGAGAGAGAGAGAGAGAGAGAGAGAGAGAGAGAGAGAGAGAGAGAGAGAGAGGGAGAGAGAGGAGAGAGAGAGAGAGAGAGAGAGAGAGAGAGAAGGGGGGGGTTGAGGAATTTATGTGTTCGTATCTGTATTTATACTGTAGTTTTTTTTCAATACGGTTATGTTATGTAGAGAGGTAGATATAGATATAGAGATATACGTGATGTAGATGGATAGATTTTTTAAGGTTGAGCATATTCTTTCCCTCTTTCCTTTTTTTCTTCCCTTATGGTTCCAGCAGGTATAGTAATTGATGGCTTTGGTTGTTTTTTTTTTTTTTTTAAAGTAAAAGAAAAAAGTCAAAGCGTTTCCCGATAAGAAAGTCACGCCAGTGAATTCGAATGCAAATGCAGCAGCAATGTAATACCACAAACTCTTCATTCTCCCTTCGTCTAAAAACCTGTAAATAAATGAGAGTATATGTAGAAGTGTCAATAATGCCCCGCAATAGATATAGCCTTCCTCAAAAAAATGGTAATAATAATAATAGATAATGTCCGCAAAAATATATATATGATAATGATAATAATAATAATAAACATTAAAAATGTCTTCCTCCTCAAATAAACATCAACGAAGTCTTCCTCCGAGTAAACTATTCTCATCACCCTCCCCTCTTCTCTCCTCTCTTCCTCCCTCTATTCTCTCCTCCCTGAGTAAACGAATGAAATCCTCCCTCAGCCATGGAGTGTCCGCGCGGCATGGAGTACAACCCGTGCATGTCGGCCATCCAGCCCCGCTGCGGCCAGCCCTCCGACGACCTCCGGCCCAAGTTCTGCGTGGAGGGCTGCGACTGCCCCTCCGGCCTGCTCCTGCACGGCGGCAAGTGCATCCGAGCCGAGGACTGCCCCTGCACCTTCCACAACAAGGACTACGGGCCCGGCGAGACCATCCCCAACGACTGCAATTCGTGGTGGGTTCGCGTGTCGGTCTGGCGCTGTTTTGGTTTGGGGGTTGGGGTTGAGTGTGTGTGTGTGGGGGGGGGGTAGGTTTAAGGGATAGGAGGGAGGGAGGGAGATTGATAGATGGCGCACGCGGGCACACACACCACACACACACACACACACACACACACACACACACACACACACACACACACACACACACACACACACACAGTCCGAAACCAACCCAGCGGCTCTGCACTCGACGCGCGCCCTTCTTGCTCCCTCACCGTTCCCTGTTGCTCTCCACAGCACGTGTCTGGGCGGGGCGTGGGTGTGCACGGAGGTCAAGTGTGGGTCTCGGTGCGCCGTGGTGGGCGACCCCCATTACACGACCTTCGACGGCCGCCACTACGACTTCATGGGCAAGTGCTCCTACACGCTGGTGGAGGGCAGCGACTTCACGATCGAGGCGGAGAACACCCCCTGCGCAGGAGCCATTTCCGAGGTACGTGGCGACGGCTCTTGGCGGCGACTCCGAACCCGCGCTTGTATTTGTGTTTTCTGGTTTACTCGAGTTTTGGGTTTGGCGGAGTCATTCTTCTTTATTTACTCGGATTTTTTTTTTCTTTTTTTCTGTTTACTTCCGTGTTTTATTATTATTATTTTTTACTTTTTACCAAGTTTTTTATTCAAGTTTTTTTATTGTTTGTTTTTTTCTTTTCTTCACTCGATTTTTGGTTCAATGTTCGAGTTTTTTCTTCTTTTCTTTTTATGCATTTTTTTTCTGCAATGTCCTAAAGGAATTAAAAGCAAAAAAAAAGTCAGGTCGGTTACTGTGTTTATTTCATTAAGATATGTATGTCAGACGAGGGCGCCGCTCTTCACACACAGGAACACGACCTGAGGGAAACATCTAGAAAACATATTATATATATATATATATATATATATATATATATATATATATATATATATATATATATATATATATATATATATATATATATACCCTCTGCGGTATTCTTACTTTATTAAATCTACACTGCAGTTGTATATAATGTATCTGGCGTCGTATTTTTCCTTTTTATATACAAATAGTAATCCTACGGTCATTTTTGGCAGCTTTATATAAAAAAGACACCAAATATTTATATATATATAAATATCACAACGACTTCGGCAGTGGCTTCTCGTCCGTTACCGTGACATCTCAAATGAAAATGTTTGTAAAGCATTTTATAATGATGTTTCAGGGGACTTGACCAAGGATCTTTCTTCTGCCTTAAGTTTATATGATGCCTGCCAATGAATCTTCAATTTACAAAAAGTAATAATAAAAATACAGGTAATACTTATTACAAGGAGACAGATCAAGTCACGAAGAAATTCAAACAGCAAATAGAATACATATAATTAAATCATTGACTTGCGCTGGCAACGCGAGCCAATAACACGTGAGCGTCGCGTTGGTAAACAAGGTCCATTTATATAGACCTTGTTGCTAAATAGGTTCTGTTTGGTAACGTGGTTGGAGTCGCAGAAATACCTGTCATGGATTTCTCTCTACTTCCCCCATTTATTCCTCGTTTTTTGTCCTCTTGATACCTTTTCATTTCGCATTCGAGGACAAAATCATTGAAAAAATAGGTAAGATCACACTGAAAAACCGTACTGAAAAAACTCTTATACATCTGAAGAGCTTTCGTACTGACGTCACGACGACTGACATCCTCACCCGGGAGATGAGGACGCCCCTGGTGCGAGAGGAGGGCGGGGGAGGATGTCCCACGCGATGTCCCGCTCGTGGATGCTGTGGCTCGTGGGAAGAGAGGCGTTGAGGTCACTCTCGGGCCCCGAAGGCTGGGCATCTGGGAAACGGGGGGGGGGGGGGGGGAGAGAGGGTTGGATGTTGATGTGAAGTGAAGCCGTGGCGACGAGGATCCCGGGCCCTGGAGAGCCAAGAGGCGACGAGGATCCCGGGCCCTGGAGAGCCAAGAGGCGACGACTCAGAGAAGCACGCTGAGGATGCGCTTGAGCGTGAGCGTCGGCCGATGCTCCGCGGCCAGACTCATGATGGACTTGCTGCGGTTCCTCAGCCGGTGCCTGAGCGTGCCTCCTGCCCCGGCGCCCTCGGCCAGGCCTCCTCCGCCCTCCGTGCTGGCGCTCAGGACGTTGCTGGTGGACGCGGCGTGGTGCAGAGACCGCTTCGAGGAGGGGAGGGTCCTGCTGCTTCCGACGCCCCCGCCCCCACCCCGCCCCAGCCTCCCCGCGGCGGTACACCAGCCACTGCGTCACGAGCGCCCCTGTGTGAGGCACCACCCAGGACGACCTGCAGGAAGAGCAAGTCGTCAAGTGTGCAAGATGTCCGAGCGATTATTGCAGGAACGACAGTAGTCTTGCTTGCACATCTCCAGCTCTGAATGCATTGGGTTCTAGAATTACATTTTTGATCAGTCAATCCATCAAAAACACGAAAGGAGCAACCACCTTGCGCCCGAGGACCTACCTGACGGTGGACGAGTACCCCTTCTCCCTGAGCGCCGCCAGCAGGTCCGAGGCGGCCACGTCCCTCGGGGAGGCGCGCGAGTCGAGCAGCGGGTACGTGGCGTCGCTGGTGAGCACGGGCGTCCCCGGGAACAGGCTCCGCAGGGAGTCCGCCGGCCCGTGCACCGTGACCTCCGTGGCGCGGTGCAGGGAGCACGTCACCACCACCAGCGTCGTGCCCTGCAACGAGGCCAACGGCGTCATGTCACGGCTGTCATTGTTCGCTGTCACTCGGCAGTCACTCCGGAGAGGCCTTGACCGCGCCGGGTGAAGACTGGATGGTTTTACTCGTTTAATGATGATGATGCGTCACGTTGGCTTTTTATTGTATAACATCTCCATCATCGGTGAAATTCCCTCGTAAAAAAAATTATAATAAAAGATAAACACAAACCCACCAGTCACCCTCCCAATCACACCCTAATCCCTTCACCCGATCGCCCACACACGCACGCACGCACGCACGACACACACACACACACACACACACACACACACACACACACACACACACACACACACACACACAACCGCCAGGGCCCCCTCCCCCCAAGCCCCCCCATTCATCCCGCGACGTTACCTTGTTGGAGGGCGGGCGGTAGACGGAGGAGGTGGACCCGTTGTGGGCGGGGAGGATGTGGGTGAGCAGGCCCGCGAAGGAGAGTCGGCGCCGTCTGCGGGTGTGCACTTTGAGGGTGTCCCCGTCGCCGCCGCCGAGGGTGAACCTCCGGCCGCCGTTCTGATCGACCCGGAAACGAGAGAGCGGGTTGTGAGACAGATGGCGTGGGGGGAGGGGGAGGGAGGGAGGGAGAAGGGGAGGAGGGAGGGAGGGGGGGGAGGTGTCATGAGAACAGCACCGTGAAAGGCGCAGGGAAGGTGTGAATTAAGGAGGGTGGATCAGATGTAATTTTTTTTCCTGTCTCTTTTCTTGTTTTACTTTATCTTCTTCCTCTTCTTTTTCATTTTTCTTTCTTTTTCTTCTTTTTATTTTTATCTTTATCTTTATTTTTTCTTTCCTTCTTCACTTTCCCCTTCCCCCTCTCCTTCTCCTTTTCCTTCACTTTCCCATTCCCCTTCCCTTTCCCCTTCTCCTTCTCCTTCTCCTTAATCTTTAATCATAGGCTTTCCCGCTTACATCTGCTACGTTCGTTTAACAGGAATAGAGAGGGAATGCAGTAATTAAATGTGTAGACATGTATATGCAATGTGGAAGTGGAATGGCGAACGTGTGAACGTTTTTAGAAAGGTAAATATAGGCTGATGGTCAAACAAGATGGATTAAACAAGTAAGCATGTAATCAGGCAAGCAAAGACGATTTCAGGTTTAATACTTTATATTTGTATCATTATTTCTTTAAGATGCTTATTGCACTGCATGAAATACACATACATACATACTGTATACATAAACGAAACACACACACAGAGACAAACACAAACACACAAACATACACACAAACAACATACACGCGCACACACACACACACGACCTGAAACTCCGACACACACATCCATTCACCTGAACTCGTATAAACATACAAAACCCGTATATAAACTCACGCTCGATGGCTGAAATGACCTCGGAACGCAGGAGGTCAGCGAGGGCATCCCGGGGCCCCTCGCGTGAAGGAGGTCATTTACAAGGTCGAGTCGGGTCAGTTCCTCAAGGAGACGACTGACCATCACTTCTCCTTCATGAGCTGGGTAGAGCATGTCACCTGCAGCATGGGATAAAGTTTTAAAAAATAATATGTGTGTGTGTATATGTGTGTGTGTGTACATATATAAGCGGACACAAAGGTAAATGAAAAGATAACGAGTCAAAATATCTTAGCAGAGTCAAAGAAAAAAAGCGAGTTGAAAGGCGGAATTAAGAGGAAAAAATAATCAAAAGATTTTTTAAAAAATACCGTTCAAGAATGAAAAAATAATGAGTTTAAAAATAATAATTAGCGGTCAAAACTAATTAAAAAAAAAAAACAATATAAAAACAGCGTTCGCCTTGATCATGATCAAACAAAACAAATGTCATTCAATCCAGAGAGCATCACCTTTCACAGGAACAAAAATATGTATGCATATTATTAGTAAATCTCGAAGAATAGAAGAAACCAAGGCGGAAAACCCCAGTCTATAAAAAAAATAACAAAAAGCAGGTTTCGAACCGCGACCAAAGCACATGCAAATAGGAAACCCAACCTAGCCAACGTACCCACAGGTAAACTAGTGTGAGAAATCTTACCCGAAGCCAAGGACACTTCATCCAGGGTACGGAATGAGACAATACACTTTCAAAAAAAAATGTTGGTGGGGAGTTCCAGAACTTACCTGTAGATAGATAATGAGCCACGTAGGAGAATAGAACTTACCTGTAAATCGATAATGAGCCACGTAGGAGAATAGAACTTACCTGGAGATAGGAAGCGAGTCTCGTAGGAGAATAGAGCTCACCTGTAGATAGATAATGAGACACATGGGAGAATAGAAATTACCTGTAGGTAGCGAGTCACATAGGAGAATAGAACTCACCTGTAGATAAATAATGAGCCACGTAGGAGAATAGAACTCACCTGAAGATCGATAATGAGCCTCATAGGATAATAAAACTCACCTGTAGATAGATAATGAGCAACTTAGGAGAATAGAACTCACCTATAGATAGATAATGAGTCACATAGAATAGAAATTACCTGTAGATAGGTAGTGAGTCACTAGGGGAGTAAGACTCAAGACTCACCTGTAGATAGTAATGACCCGCTTACAAGAATAGGACTCACCTGTAGACAGATAACGAGACACAAGGGAGAACAGACATTACCTGTAGGTAGTGAGTCACACATGAGAATAGAACTCACCTGTGGATAAGTAGTGAGCCACGTAGGGAAACACGCGGCCGTCCCGAACCCTGCCTCGCTCACCAACTGTAATGGCGTAATGGTAATGTTATTTGTACAAAAGCCCCTGACAAATTGCAGCGGCGAGTGAGGCAAGGCATAATGATGATTGAGTGGCAGTCGTGTTTTGGGGGAAAGGCTGCTTTGGGGTCGCGACGAGAGGGAAGTGGATCGTTATGTTGTTAGGTTGTTTTATCTCGACTGGGTCTGTGTGGAAATCAGTAAACCTCATCTGTGAACGAACGGCGGCGGAGTGAATTAGTCATAAACACGGAAATTCAACACACGGACTTTAGATTAGACGAAAGAATTAGCCATTATATTGATGGCGGTGTAACGTTCACATCGTTATAACAAAATCCTAAAAAATATAACTAAAATAACGGACCTGGACATAGTTTATACATTTTTTTAAATAAGCACAAGACCAAAACAAAGCACGCGTCAACAAACCGATTTCCTCACATATATAAATCACGAAAAGAGAGAGAGAGAGAGAGAGAGAGATAATGTTCTCGCTTTCAAACAGACGCTGTCGAAACACAAATCATGAGAACGGAGAAGGCGCTGCCGGTACACGCAAAGAACTCCGCTCTCGTCGATCACTCGCTCTGACCTACACCCAAGGACACCTGTCTCGTTAAACCTGAACTCACAGGCATACGCACGCTCCTTATTTACCCGCACTGCGAACACAATGAACAAATACACGAGGCGCACGCCAAGACCCCTATGTCAACAGATGATATGTGAACCATATAGACCTATATACAGGTCTATATAGACCTTGATGCGAACTGCGCCCATACAGGCATGCGCACTGCATTTGCATAGGATTCGTTTCACACATATATATTCGCAATAAAGATTAAGATGAATACGTACATTTAGGCACGGATTCGACTCAACATGCATACGTGCAAGCTGTGAGGAATCCCACATTAATGCAAGAAAAACATGGGTTTCCTTTCACACTCTCGCAAGCATCCGTAGATTATTCACACGCAAACACATACAATTCATAGATTATCCGCACGCACACACATACTATCCACAGATTATCCACACACATACAATCCACAGACCCGTTTCCTCCACGCAAGACCCCACAGATCTCGCATTCCCATAAATAACGCCAGCCACATGATGTGCACACAATCCACACGCGCCGTCGTTGCTTCACCCGCAGTGCCATTGTGTAAATGATAATGAGGGATGAGGTTGTATAATGAGAGCGGAGGATGGTCACAGGTCGACGGTTTGTGAATGAATGCGGGGAAATGACACGCTTCGGGGTCGCCTCGCTGGCTGGTCTGGGAGGCTCTGGGTGGCCGGGGTTAGGATGTGCTCGTCTGTCTGTCTGTCTGTCTGTCTCTCTCGCTCTCTCTCTCGCTCTCTCTCTCTCTCGCTCTCTCTCTCTCTTCTCTCTCTCTCTCTCTCTCTCTCTCTCTCTCTCTCTCTCTCTCTCTCTCTCTCTCTCTCTCTCTCTCTCTCTCAATCTCTCTCATCTCTCTCTCTCTCTCTCTCTCTCTCTCCTCTCTCTCTCTCTCTCTCTCTCTCCTCTCTCTCTCTTCTTCTCTCTCTCTTCTCTCTCTCTCTCTCTCCCTCTCTCTCTCCTCTCATCTCTCTCTCTCTCTCTCTCTCTCTCTCTCTCTCTCTCTCTCTCTCTCTCTCTTCTCTCTTCTCTCTCTCTCTCTCTCTCTCTCTCTCTTCCCTCCTCCCTCCTCCTCCCTCCTCTCCTCCATCACTCACTCACTCACTCTACTCACTCACTCACTCTTCACTCCCTCCCTTCCTCCCTCTCCTCCCTTCTCCCTCTCTCCCTCTCCTTTCCTTCCCTCTTTCCCTCTCCTTCCTTCCTTCCTTCCCTTCCCTCTCCCTTCTACTTCCCTTTCTCCCTTCTCCTCTTTCCCTTTCTCCTCTCTCCTCCCTCTCTAATTACACCTTCGCGCCCGAAGGAGAAAGTAAGCCACTCCCATTCAACTCGTATTGCACTCTCTTCCCCCGACCTTCGCATCCATCCGGTGTGAGTCGTAACTTTCTCTCTTCACACTGCCGTAACGCTAAAGAAAGGGAGAGAGAAACGAATAGAAAAGAGAGGAGGAGAGAGAAGATTGAGAGAGTTTTAAGGGGGGGGGGGGGGGGAGGGAAGGAGACAACGAATGCGTCAAAAATCAATGGTCGCGCCCTCTCCCTCCCTCCCTCTCCTCCACCCCCGCTTGTACCTCTGTTTTCACTTCCTCCCTCCTCATCTCTTACCCCTTCCCCTCCCACCCTTCCTCTCCTTCCCCTTCCTCTCTCTCTCTCCTCTCCTTCCCCCTTTCCTTTCCTACGCTTTTCCTCCTTTCCCTCCTTCCCCTCTTCTCTATATTCTCCCTTTCCTTTCTCTCCCTTCCCCTCTCTTCCCTCCCTTCCCCACTCTCCCCGCTCCCCTCCCCTCCATCCTTCCCCTCTCCTCCCTCCCTTTTCCTCCTTCCCTCCCCTACCCTTTCCTCCCCCAACCTCCCCCTCCCTCCCCCTCCCTCCCTCTCGCTACCGCCTAAGTGAGAGTTTTATGACAATAAAACATTTGCAAAGGTTTCCACCGCCCGTTCGAGCAGCAGCAACCCTGACCTGGCGTTTTGAAGAGGTTGTGGTTGTTGATGTGGTTGTAAAAGGTATCTCCGGTTTATTTTGGTTTCGGTTTTCTTTTCGCTTTTTTGTTCGTTCTTTTTTAGTCTGTTTTTTTTGCGTGTATATGACGTTTTTTTCGTTTTCTTCTCTCTCTCTTTTCTCTCTTTCTCTTTCTTCTTTCTCTTTTCTTTCCTCTTTTCTCTTTCTCTTTTCTTCTCTTCTCTTCTCTTTCTCTTTCTCTTTCTCTTTCTCTCTCTCTTTCTCTCTCTCTCTCTCTCTCTCTCTCTCTCTCTCTCTCTTCTCTCTCTTCTTTCTCTTTCTCTTTCTCTTTTCTTCTTTTCTCTTTCTCTCTTTCTCTCTCTCCCTCTCCCTCTCCTCTCCCTCCCTCTCTCTCTCTCTTTCTCTCTTTTCCTCTCCTCTTTCTCTCTTTCTTTCTGCTCTCTTTTCTCTCTCCTCTCTCTCTCTCTCTCTCTCTCTCTCTCTCTCTCTCTCTCTCTCTCTTCTCTTCTCTCTCTCTCTCTCT